AGTGCAGTGCCTCGTTATCAAATGATAACTGATATCAACTATGGCAAAGATAGCTAAGAAATACAGAGAACGATCAGTCATAACACTGCAAAGGGTAGGAATTTTAAAACAATACCTTCATGCGAGCAACAATAATAGGCAAAGAAAAAAGTACGGTGCTACTCCACGTGAACGCAATCCAACATTTGCACCTCGTTATAGTCTGCTCCGCCTCGTACCTGGATAGAATAAAAGGCTAGACAATAAAGTGGAAAGAGTTAAGATACACCTCCAGTCACCGAATCATTTAGCGCTCAGGCATCTGGATAAATTCAAATTTAAGTTAATGTAAGTAAATCCAAGCAATAGATGTTTCGGTGTTTAGAAAAGGGAGAAGACGAAATTACGAGAAATCAGTATCTGCCTTTCTCCCATAAGTTTAAACAACAGTGTTTACATTTATTATTTATTGATTTTGCGAAACATAGATCACAAATAGGTTTAACAGTTTAACTTGCGAAGGAAAGTATGTAAAAGGAAAGTTCTAGTGATAAAGATACCAGAACTCTTTTCTTAAAATTCAGCTTTTGAAGAAAGAGTCCCTTGTATTTGAGTATTATCTTCAATAAGAAGGTAAATTGGATGGTATTACCCTGGTAAATTTGAAAGATAGAAATAAAACTTACCTTTGAGGTTTCATTAGAGCAGCATATCGGTCGATGCCAATCCATGCAAGGGTATAGGTAGTATTAGCAAACAGAACTATTTCTAAATATACTGAGCATTTACAAACCAACGAATTATCACCCATAAATTGCCAGTCTGGTGCCAAAGCACTGTACATGCTGGTAGGTATTATTGCCACTGAACATAGCAAATCGGCAGCCGACAAAGAAACCTGCAAAAACTGCTTAAATTTTAGCAATCTATGAAAATTAAAGTACAAGTGAGCCAATGTAAAAATGCTCCATCTTGCGGGCAATAACTTGTATCTATTAAATGGATTTTGGAAATAGCTTTATAATAGATTTGAATATTAACTGATGAGTGCATGTTATAAAGGGAAAAAGCAAAGAACGTATTGAATAGAACATCCCATTGTGTAAATAAAGCTTTCAAAAGGTGATGGGTACAAATAGAAGCGCACTTCTAAGGCGATAATAAATTTGCTTTTCTTTTTGAATAACCCTTCCTCATTCAAGCAACTAGCAGGCCACTCCTGAGCCTGGAATAGGCGTCTTGGAAAACCGCAATCTGAAATCCGGAAGTAGCAATTCAGTAAGAAAGAAGTGGTAATGCCAACGAACCATATAATAACCAATAACATCACGGAGTGCATCATTGCAGAGGGTTATCGTTATGGAAACAGCTGCTGAGAACATTAATAACAAGCCGACAGAAAGTATCACCGCTGCTCGTGCCAATGCTTCCGTTGTCAACGCTGACGGATCAACCACTGCCAGCATTTCACACCTTCATGTGATCACTTTTATTCACTTGTTTTGACTATATACATATATATATATATATATATATAGTAACCAACTTAATGCCAAACACACGATTCAGATTCAGATTCATTTTCAGATGCACTGCCATTTGGGATGGGGTGTAGCGCTAGGAAAAGAGGGAAGTTAGCTAGAATAGCCTGCATATCCTGCCATGTACGACGGGTCCATCAATTTGCAATATTCAAGGTATGAAGATGGTTGAAAAATGAAACAGTCTCAGGATGAATTTCCAATCAAAAAATATCGGAAAATATAAGGATTGTGTATATTTCCGTCTACTGCGAACCGTACCGCATTTACTTATGCGCTTTTAACCTACGTAGATGCTGAGAGCTGCGTGTAACTTGTAACCTTGCTCGCCTTACCATCTTGCATTTTCTGTAAATTGGGAAGGAAATATAAATATAGCAGTGCAAAGCGCAAAATTTGAAATTACCACCGTGCACGTTAAAGCAGGACAATTAAGTCAGTGCTATATGGCTGTCTGCACTAATAGAATCATGGACTGTTAAAGTTTAGTTTTGTCAGGTTGTGATTTCGCACTTATTCCAGAGCAAGCACGAAATGTCACACCATTTAGAGGACATGCCATAATACTCATCGCCAAGGATATGACCATTAAATTTATGTAGAAAAAGGAAAGAGGAGACAATATAGAAAATAGTGGTTTTGGAAAAATTAATACACATAATTGAAATTATCAGGAGAACAATATTACATCGAACTGCCTCGAACTAACTTAATCACTCTAGGGTCATATAAATCATTTATAATATTCAATAAGTAGGTGACCTGAACTACAAGCATAACATCAGGACAGAATTAATTTTCTTCGCTTTTACAATACTTTTTTCTAACCGTTATTTAGAAACAAACATGGTGAAATGAACATGCGATTTAGAAATCAAACATTAAAAAACCAATCATTTCATGTAACAAATCGATGGGATTAAAATGCACATAACATAACTGTTGAGACTAAGGTTCAATTTTTCATCAGAATAACCTTCATTGCTCCTTTCATCAGGCAGTCATCTTGTTGGCTTGATTTGAGATTAAAATTAAAAAAAAAAGAAAAACTCTTGAAAAATTGATGAAAATTGAGCCCTTGCCAGCAATAATGGAAACTCAGACTTTGGCTTCCCAACAAGTTACATATAGAAAAATCAATTTATTGTTGCCAGAAGCTTTACCGTAAAGTTGTTGTCAACACATTATCACATCTACACAAACATAACGTCATAAATAATTCATTAATGCATATTTTCGAGAAGCTTTTGTTGTTATCACGATGAAAGACTTATTTCCGTCAAGGCAGTAATGATTTGTGACAGTTCAAGAAAGAACTTAACTGCTTCGCTAAATTCATTTCTTGAATAGTTCATACAAATTCACTTTGTAACGTTACGCTCTTTCCTCGAATTTAACATTATTCCACGACTTAACCTCCTACTGGATCTGCTATTATTATGAGATCACTTTTATCAATCAAAAATATGACGTGACAGTAGTCAAGCAAGGTATTGCTCAGAAACTGGCATAGTAAGTATCACTGAGAGATTGTTACAATGATCGCCATGTTTCTTAGGACTCTGTTACTGTATAACAGAAATTGAATAAAACAGGAGATAAGAAATACAGTATCTTCAGGATAGAAATGCGTAAAATGAAATAAACACATATTATCAACACTAAGCATTGATGAGTTAAACATTTGAAAGCATTTATTGGACCGTGAGCACCATTCCATAACAATTCTCATTTATAATCCATTTCAGGAGGTAAAAAACAAACTTTGATTTGTATTGCTTGCATTCTTGTAACCTTCAACTCTCAGGAAGAATTTCAATTGGAAGCCAATCTTATCAGATATGTACTTCAAAATCCAGAAGGATGGCCATTACAAAGGGGAGAATCAAACAGAAATAAATATCAAAGGGATGATGCATTTTTTTGTATAACTTGGTGAGTTTTTAGAAATGTGCCATGATGAAGCTTAGCTACCAACGCCTGTGTTCTTCCAAACTTAAGATTTGTAATTTCCGGCATGAACTGAATACAAAGTTCATGGATGAGTAAGTGAGTGAATATGAAGAAAGAAAAGACAAACATGCATGGAGACCAGACTTAGGAAATATCTTTCTAGCCTCTAAGTACCAAAGCGGCCAAAGTGCGGTGGAAAGAGAGAAAGTCGTTGCTGGCTTTGTTCATTATAAAATTATTATCAGTATTGTCAGATGCTAATATTTCCACTACTATTAGGATTACTGTACATACTACAGGTTTTAGAATCGGAATTTCCGATCAGAGCCGGGATCCTAGTAAAGAGAAATAATTTTCGAGCAAGTAAAGAAACACTCTAAATATTGCTTGCTTTCTTTACAATTCACTTGAAGTTATGGTACCACTGTTTAGATCCTAAATTTGAACTACGAAGGTAAATCCTCTTTGCTTACCATCTTACTTCTCTAATTCTAAAACCAAGACTTTACCCGCTTCGATAAATCATACTGGCAGATGAATTGATGAGAAAACATGTAGAAAACATGTCTTTCGTTAATGAAATAAATAAATTAGCAAAGAAACTGAAATTGACAGTCATTGGTACAAATAAAAACGTAAAGATATTGAATTGCAATACTTGTGAGTAACCTGCGAGTTGTCACAGTAAATCATTGAAGGCCTTGAAAATTATCGCTATATGAGTGAGAAAAATAAAAAGCTATAATTTGATTTGCCTAAATCTTTAACCCTTTCAATCAAACAAACACAACAGGCTAATATCCGCATGTATTTTACAAATCCTTTAGGAATAAATAGGCTAAGTAAGAATACTTTCATATCTAGTTAGTTTTACGCCATAACCTTGCTAGCATCACTTTAGGAATTGATTTTAACTCCAATTCCAGAATTTTTGAGAAATGTTTTTTTCTGTCTTTCTGAATTTCCTTCAGCAGAAATTTTCATACAAGATGAATGCAAAGCTACAGATGCTTATCTCAACAAAAATATTGTCTTTCAAGTAGTTTTTTAAGCTAATCTTACATTTTATTTTTGGCTTTACAGATGCAAACAATTTCTGTAATTTAACCCTAAAGAATCAGAAATTGTATGATATGGAAATCTTAGTCTAGTCATCAAGTGAGGTGGAATAATCTAAACTGAAAGGTGCCCACAAGTCTTCTGCTTGGGAGATTTTTAGACGAGCATTATCATCTGATGGCTCTGACTGCATTACGAGTCTGCTTGATAATTATTCATCATTCAAGGGATTTATCTGTGCTGTCCTAAAAATTTCATCCGTTGAAGAAATGATAAGAGGAAAGGTAGCTTAGGTCCCTCTCCACTTTATTAAGTCTCACACTTAAAGGGAAAGCTCCTAATATACTGATGTATAACTGAACAAAAATACCTTTTTTTTTTTGAAAACAAAAATAACTGAAGAGAAAATTTTAGGTAGTCCTTTTTTGCAGAGAAATAGTTATTATGCAGGGAAAAGCTCAAAACATATTAGAAAACTGTAAGCGATGAGTGTAATTGTAAATGACAGTGTAGTGACAACGATGGTGATGATGATGTTGACAATGATGACAGTGGTTGATTGAGAGCTATACATCCTGCAAAAATACTGCAACAGTGCAATTTTTGAATTTCATGATATACTGTTTTTAAGTCGTTGTCCAATGATCCGAGCTGATGCGTTATACGAACAGTTAATGTAACGCTGCTTCGATGCTGATACTGAAGTAATCAAGAAGAGAAAAATCGGAGACTGTTATTATTGGAGTGGTAGCACTCTGGTGTAGTACATCGCTCAGGCTGTATAATAGAACAGAATTGTTGAATGAAGTGCTGTATATGGGTATATTAAGGCTTTAACTAGTAAAAGACTTCTAAGCACAGGAGTAGGGAAAAAAAACCTGAAGAAACTCGAACCAGCAAATCAGAAGATAAAATTTTCTAAACATAAGTTAGACCATTCTATTCAAGCCTATACTCTCCTACCGCCGATTGGCGTAGCTGGTGATGTTCCTCCTCTTTGCAAATCAATAGGGTAGCCTAACTCTTTCACAGCAAGGCCAACATATAAGAAGTGATGCTAAGAGCCAACTCTTTTCATCTACTACAAGTAAAATTATTGATTCAAAAAAGAGGCAAGCAGCTAACCAGATGGCTAATGGAAAGGCATACCATTCAGGTACTCAGGCACATAGAAAATGCGCATGGATGTCTGCTGGTTTACACGGGAACAGTCACCGATTATTTTATGGAATCGGTATGTTATAAACTGTAAATTCGATGACTTACAGATATGGAATGTATTAATCACAGTAGGTGACTTCCGAGCCTGAAGAGTGGGTGCCAAATGGAAGACTGAAGCAAAAGGAGTACAATTCGCAATGTGACGTGTACATATACCGGAGTTAACGGACGGAGTCACAACGCTTCATGATTCATAACATTTTCACTCGTATCTCCGGTGACAAGATGCATTGCTCGAACATATCTGCTGTTGCTGTTTAAATACTTCGTCAATCATTCTTACGTGCCCCATTCCTTACATCAACCATAAAAACAGCATAATTACGTAATCATCAACCATAATTACGATAATCAGTACTATATTTTCAAAGAATAAGCTTTTATACTATTTTTTCAATCAGCTTTCCATGCAATTCATATAGAATCCAAAACGGTTTTAACAAAAATGAACTTCATCTTTCTTCCAACAATCAAAGCTCCTGTAAATGAACAACTTACAAGAAGCAATTAAAAGTTTTGCACCGTGAAATGCAATAATTTTAGTACTGCAAAAAATACAAGAGAACTGCTCAACAAAATGTTGTTAGACCTCTCCAGAAGGAATAATATCCATGATCATATACAGTTGTGCATTAGATGTAAAAAGCTTATCAACCCTACCAAAGCAATACCCATCAAATCCTCAAACTTGCAAATGTTAATCTTCACCATTCCACTGTTACAAGAGTAGCATTTTTGTAGCGATCTGATATCTTGTCAAGATTCCTATCGCCATGTTGGTAATTATGGAACCCCCTGTATAATGTACAATCTTTGCAATTGTTTTATTCATATCTAGAAATCCTACATAAATTGCAACTTTCAAAAATTGATTTACTGACTGATCTAGTTAGCGATGATAGTTTAACAGTATGCGCTAGTCGATACAAGGCGGCATTACTTCAATAGATCAGTAATCACAAAATACGGAGTTCTGCTATACTAGATTATATTTTTTTCCTTTTTGAACTGTTTTACTGTAGTTAAATGACCTGCAGACTTGTAATGATTGTACTTACGACTGTGACAATAATCGCAGTATATAAATTTATTTCAAGTGTAAACGCTCTAATTTACAAGCAACTGACATAATTTTTTCAATTTCTTCAATTAATCTGCTTAGCATTGCACAATCCATCAAGAAAATTTTCTCATCCTCCACGGAAGTAGAAGTCTCAACAGCAATACCGGTTGTCCAGTCATCACCACCATCTCCATTGCCAACACGAAGCCAAAATTGAAGCATTACATCCGGTGCATTCAACAAAACCATCCGCCCAATCTGTACATTTTATGACCCTTTTTTAACATGCAAATTACAAGCATTAATATTTTGAATTTTTTCATAAACTATTTTGAAAAAAAGTGGAGTAATGCCTACAGGCTCAACGTCCATGACGATAGCCAACATTTAACTGCCAACCATGCGAAATGAACCCATGGAATTCATGAGCGATCAATGAGAAAATACTTCACGACTTCAGAAAAAAACTTCATACGGTCTCCTAACAGTGACAGAGAAGCTCTATTTTACTATATATTCGGAACATTTATTAATAATCGCTTGAAGAATTCCTAATTATTAGTCTTGGTCACAGTTCTTATGGCTCATCTCTATACACTGTTCGCTTCTGTGATCAGTTCGTATCGTTTAGAAGCGGAATAAGGAAGTCTTAAAAAGTAATAAAAAGGCTTAAAGAAAAATAATAGCAAAGATTTAGTTAAAAAAAAATTAAAATGTTCAGAAAAATTAAATGTTCAAATTAAATGTTAAATGTTCAAATAATAGTGACAATTAACCCGATCAACTTTCCTGTCAAGCTAAACAAACCTCGGACAAAATCCTACCCATATTTGGCCTTTTCTTTTCCGATTTTCAATCTCGATGCACCTACTAAATATAATGTGAGAAGAAAATATTTATTTCTGCTATTGCTTCACAAAATGTGTACCAGTGGACTTTTGTTCCAAAGATACTCATTGAAAAAAAGTATTTCCCATCTTCTTATGGAAATCAAGATTTAATTTCTATTCCTATCACGAAGTCAAGAAGTACCATAAACAAAGAACTTTTCCTAGTTTTTTGCATTAAACTAGATTTCTGTTGGCTGGAATAATTCTATAACTGCATTTTTGAATGTAATGTTGGTATATTATAAGGAGAGAAAAAATGAAGTGATGTTGGAAAATTAGTGATTATGTTTACTTAACCACTGACAAAACAAAAATTCATCGCTAGAAGCTAAACCTAGGGAAATCAAATCTCAAGCCGTATAAATCTGTCAGTCGTAAACAGAATTTCGCTAAAAGATTTGTAGGAATGAATTAAGCAGTTGAATAAAAATAGTTGGAAGACGAAATACTTCAAACATAAAGGATGGATGACGGTATGCGAAATTAATTTATACCGAATTAGTACGGTACACCAAATTAATTTCCGATAGCTCATGATGAAGTTTCTTCTTTCGGCTTTAGCTAGTGTTCAAAAGCATATGAATGTCGTCATTTCCAATGCATGTTTACTCTTTCTTTTAGTTTTTAAATCAGTTAAACTGCCACCGTTCCTTCATTTGGTTGAGCTTCCTTCTCAAATTTCTTGATAAAACGACTTTGTGCAAAATGCGGAAGAAGCATGACATAACTAGAACTGCATCGAGTTCTAGTAATGTCATAATATTGTTATCACACAACCAGTATTTTCAGATGATGGCACAGCACGAAAGCATTCTGTCCAGATAGATGAGAATTTTACATTAATAATAACCATCGTAAAACACTTTCTAGATTATCAACTTTTCTTATTAACTCCTTAAATGAAAAACTATTAACTTCCCAAATGAAGAAGATACTTGTGTACGAACTATGATTACACATGATCTAAATGCAAGTTGAACAGACATGATTAAAATATGAAGCCATTTATGTAGAAAGGTAATAAATCCTAATATAGTTCAAGGAAAGGAAAATATAATATTTAAAAAAGTGGAGATCGATATATAAAATCAATGCATACATATGAAGCATGAAAATGGGTATGCAGTACTTGGTAATGAGTTGAATGGTACCAGATAAGGAGGAAATGATTTTGAGGAAAGTGAATTATTGTCCTTTTCTGACATATAATTTTGGATTTTCAACTCACCGTAGCTTTTTTATGAAAAATTGCAACAGAGGTTACTTGTTCGTACTTCGTTTTATAAAAAAGATGAGTATATCTTGGGCAATAATTGCTCAAGAGATACTCAACGCTACATTAGCACTCATACTTCTTGAAAACATCAGAAGAAAGACCTCACAATTCACATATTTCACTGAAATGGACAAGAGTGGGCTGGAAGAGGTAAGATCCTTAGAAATTCAGTTCGGTTGGCATGCCGCTAATGAAATAATAATGTAGAGTGCAATTACTTGATCTACGTGATGTTTTGATGATGGTGACTACCCTTATAGTAAGCATAGAAAAACTGATGCGCGCTATAGCATTCTGAAATATGAATGGGAGAGTGCACAGATTATATTGTATCTTATAGCACAGTAAATAAAATCGTTGATGTCCTTCTTATAACAGTTACTTTAGATAGCGATTTTTCCTTCAAATGCAAGATAAACACAAAACAAACCGGAATTTCAAAGAAGTTTACTTATTATCTATTTATACTCTACAGCTCCATTCTAAATACTTTAACATCCTGTCCCTTTTATACCAATCAAATTAAAGTGTTAACAGTATACTCCCAAACTTATCAAACTAATCGAGCCTTTGCAAAGATACAACTCAAGCAAGACACACATTTTTGAAACCGGTGCGCCTGGTAATAAAAACTAGAATCCTCCAGTGAGAACTCACAATATTATGATGGAATAAAATTAGCAAACATAACGGAACTACTTCCATTTCGTTAACTAACAGTATGTAGCAGTAGTTCTTTGACAGTTTTTAGTACTAGTCAAGAGGAAAATGCACTTTTAACGAAAACAAAGGCAAATATCATATCTGAATCTAAAAACTGAAAACACAGAAAAACTATACAGGTATGATATTCATGACTTAGTAAAATTTTGTACTGAACTAGCTTCTCAGTGCTTTCGTGGAAGTTATGCACCATATTCCCCAATTCCAAATATGCTTCTACCTATCTTTTTTTTGCATTAACAGCAAATTTTATTCAAATCCTATGTCTAGATAGCCAAAAACCACTTCACAATTGAATGAATATCGCTGTTGAGAAATAAATGCAGTCCAGTACAATAATCATTTTAAGGGATAGATTCAATCTTTTAAACAGATGCTGGAAATGTCACAGAAACTTTTAAAGATCTCAAAAATTTTTAACTGGCCTTAGTAATTTGAAATTTGCCACTGGTACTTTTGTACCACTAAATATAATTAAGAGCAGAATTAACAATATAATGCTTCATGTAACAAACTACAGATTGTTTATGTTTCTTTGGGGAGCAAGTTTCTTCAGAAGTTATTTAAATGCTAAAAGTGACTAAATGGAAGACGAAAATGAGTGAAATTACGTCCTTATGATATTTGGTAATACTTCCTGGTTCTACCAACTTTACTGGTAGTGCAATAACATTACAACTTACTGTAATCTGGAAGCGGCATTGAAGAGATCGAAATGGCGGATATTTAGATACAGCATTCATTATGCCAGGTTTGTAAGATTGTTCAGTATTTATAAAATCGGTGACTGCTTTGATGAACTCATCATTGAAAGAATCCCGTGATAAAATGTCCTTGAAACTAGATTCGGCGAGCTAAAGACAAAAGTCCTGCGATTGATTGACAAAACATTTTAGCTAATATTTTCATTAGCACCACATTTTAATTAAAATAAAACCATCATTACTATCAACTAAGGCCTGCTGAATTTGCAAAAAAGAGGGCAAGATGTTTAACCTTTTCTAACAAGTAAAGATCTTCTGTCCAATGTGCTATCCTGCTATCCTGCGGCTGAAAACGAGCATTTATTTTGTTTTTAGCGTAAAAATTGAATTTCATTACATTTGATGTAGAGATGTCACATGGTAATTACTAACCTTATTATTACTTACATAATTACGCAGTTGTATGAGAGAACTGAAACAGCGCCAGATGTCAGTTGAAGGTATATCAACATGAGCTGAAATTCATGACGTGAATATTAATAAAAGATATAACTGTCACTGAGAAAACTACGAATCTTCCAATGGGAACTTACAAAAGTATGATGGAATTAAATCAATAAACCTGACGGAACCGAATATGCTAATTAACAATAAAAAGTTATTCGAAATAGTTTTAATTCAATATTTTTGGCATAAAAACTGAATCCCATTACATTTGGTGTAGAGGCGTTACACGGCACCTACTAACCTTGTTATTACGTACATATTACTTTAGAGAATTGAATACGAAAATATGAAGTGCCAAAGTCACCAGAAAACATAATTTAAAGTAATCTATAATATTTTAAAAACAAAAAGAAGCCCCTTCCATACTGAAATAAAAAGTCAGGTTTCACGTGCGTATCACTTCACACCATTCCAGGAAGCAGCAGCAGTTTTTTGATATGTTTTAATAAAATATTCATTCTATGAATATTTTAAAACGGCGAATGTCTAAAAGCTGGAATTTGTCATTAGAGTTCTAACTAAAAAGCACACATTTCATAATGTCGAAGATACAGTATTTGCCATACTAGACAGAAAGACGTTGCTACTGAGATGTTGTTTTCGTGCTGAAAACTCTTACATCACAACAAGAACGTCTTAATCATCCCTGATTCGTGAAAGAATTACAGCACCTGCGAGGGAATCAACGTAACCGGTAAGTAGTCGCTTTTTGTCGAATGATTCAATTTCTTTGATTATAGCATCACATACTGCAATGTAATGGTGCAAAAATAAATTATGGTGATTTTAACATACTAAGAAATCACTTTGCAATCTAAAGTATTTACCTTTATTTTTTATTCGTAATGTCAGCTTTTATACTGCCTAATGACAAGACAGTCTATCACACAACAAGACATCCAACAGTTAATATTGAAAGAAAGATCTTGGAGGCTACTGTTGAGTCTTGATACAGTCGTCTGTTACGACCATTGATTTGATTTCTGCACTACGAAGGTTGTCATTCCACCAAATGGATGATAATTTAATCAGCATTATCAATCAATCAGTACCGTCTATGCTTCAGTGCTACACCAAAAATGACACTCACCCCGAGCTGGCTCTTCAGTATGGAGCAATACGCGCAATGGAAATACAAGGCTATCCAAGTATCTCTCGAGTTCGCTCCCTCCCGACATCCGTAACCATCCGTGCAGATCTTACGCAAAGTGATCATCCTTATTGTCTAGGCGGGACTCTATGAAAAAAATATCCCACCGATATATTTTCTTAGAATGAAAGGAAACATTATTTATCGTTTTTCTCTATTGATGAGTTGAATTTCTCTTCTTCTACGTGTTAATGAAGTAGTGTAGTAAAGTCGCGGAAGTTAACCCCATATTTCATTTACATGCATCTTAGCCTTACCCTTCCAGCACTGCTTACGTGGTGAACGAAGTTTATTACCGAAGTAATTTGTTTGAACGAGTGAATGACAACGATTATTTCATTCTTTAGATATGGAGGAGTTAAAGTGGATTTCTAAAATTCTTAGGAAATCTATCATAGATGTTCATTTCCTTAACAAATAATATCAATAACTGAATAAAAAGCAACACCGGTGACGGATTACATTCGTTTACAGATAACGACATACTCAAATAACTAAATAAATCATTACATCAGGGAAAATAATAATAGCAATAGGAATGGAGCGCTTAAAGCGATATTGCCAGCCTTTTGTTCTGCTGTTTATAATTCATCGTGCTTGATTAATTTAAGAAGTTCGATATCGAAGTACAAGTCAGCTTTACCAGGTATCGATGGCTTCCGACCTTCTGTACCATACCCTTAAAAGAAATGTAGAAGTGTAAAAAGAAGGTTACTGCTCTCAAAGCAAATTCAGAACCTGGTTAAAATAATAAAGTAAGATGCCAACCTAATTCCCATGGAATGACCACTTTTCGTCTCTCTCCTTCGCACATACCATTCATTGCTCGATCCATACCTTCGATCACCTATAAGTATAATCTACGATTATGCAAGTCCATTTCATGAAATCGTAAAATTTAATGCTTTCTGTGCTTCAAATATCATATTTTTTGCTGAATAGTTAGCAAGTCTTATGCTAACCTTAATGAAAAAGTTGTTAAATATACTTTTACCTAAAACCAGAAAAAGAAATGTTTACAAAAAATTTGCAACAAAAAATACTTCTCCTTTCCCAAGTTTGAAGATGAATGGCGCATTCCGGCTGAAGCTGGAATCGACAAATGTTCCGTCGAAATGCTCTAAGTAAAGCGTATAGTGTTGATGAATCGTATCACCTTTCTCGGCCTTACGACATTCCTTCTCATCAATTTTGTGTGTCACCTTTAAACACTATTAATTTTAAGATTTCCTTGGTGGAAAACGTTACCTACCGTTAGCAGCGTGACTGCTTTTATGGAGACTAAGCCTTCCTTCATATTTTAGCACTCATTCTGCGGAAATGGAAGGATTTTTTTTTTTGCAGTGAAGTATGGCTTTTTCTAAATTTGAAGTCGAATGATATACTGAAGTTAGCAAATATGCTAGAAAGAAGGAACTAAGTACTGTCATCGGTAAAAGGAAATGCAGTCGATACTAGCAGCTTGAGAACATTGCAATTAATTTCATTTAAAAAACATGATTATAGTTCTAGGTCGCAGGAAATTACTACAGCATTAATTTTGCAACACTTTAACTTTACTATCAATTTAACCCATACCTCAATTTTCAAACCATCGTCATCGGTCCACGAATCACCGGGTACTGGTCTAAATAGATCCACAAGCTGTACTGTGTAGTACAGTGTTTGTCCACCTTTTATATTATCTCTGTCGCGACCATCATCACCAAAACCCAAATGTGCTGGGATTACTACTTTCCTCTTTTCACCGATGCACATACCGGTCATAGCACGATCCATGCCACTGATAACTTGGTTTTTACCAAGTGTAAATATGTATCTGAAAAATACTGAGATCTAAACAACTTGATAAAAGACCGACTTAGAAGCTTAAAATATCAGAAGTACATTTAGACAGAAACAATTTGTCATATATTTTGGTTGACTTATGGATATTGGACAACTCAATCAGACTAGAGGAAGACTTTCCTCTAGTTTGATTTATAAGTAAACAGAGCTTCCAATTCAAGAACAAATAAAGATTCTTCACTTTTAAAATTTTAAATCAACCCTAATTGGCTCAATTTTTTTCAATTAATCCTAATTTACTCAAACCATTTAAGCAGGCCCACTTTCCGCAAGTAAACCTATTTTTCGATTTCCAAATAGTTAAAATCTTTGATTCTAATTTTTTCGATTTCTTGGATATAAAATTTTGCATCCCCGGTGAATTAACACTTCTCAGATGACCTTACGGTTTCTTGCCGAAATTGGATCCTATTGTTTGTCCTTCTCTGTCGGATAATTTGTAGAACTGTTCAACGATATCACCCGGTTGGCTTTTCATCTTACATTTTTCTGGCTTGACTGGCTTTATTATCTTAATCTGAAAATCATCCCTTTAAGATATAATTCATCTAAAGTGATGCAATGCAGAAAACTGGAAATGCAGAATAAAAGTGAAGTGACATACCTCCAGACCATCATCTTCCTTCCAACTGAGTTTCTCTTCGTCCTCACTGAATACAGATGCAAAGCATATTATTGTTGCGCCCACAACGAGTGCCAGTTTATTACAATACATAGCTCAGAAATAATTAAAACTGAAATTTCGGTAACACAATGGTAGGACAGGGGAGATAAGATTTTCTGGAAAATTATGAAACTTTAAATTAATTCAAATTCAGTACGAATGATAAATGCGAAAAAGATCGCTCAAACTTAACTTTTACAGCATATCACTGCAATGTTCAACAAATTAAAATCAACAAATCAAAATTAAAAGTCCAACAAATTTGTAATTAAAAGGAAAACTTGAAGAGCCAATTTTTTCTCTAAAAAATCTGAGCAACAAAATATTTTTTACTTGAGCTAACAAAAATACAACTTATGGGATATTATTCTAGGGTTCAACTAACTTAGCTAAACTGAATGGGTTCAAATCAGCAGCTAATAATTAAACATTTAAAGTTATTCAAATCGAATCAAATTAGAAGTTACTAAATCGTAATTAATAAGAAACTACCCTTCCATTAGTATAAATACTGAAAAAATTCTCCCAAAACCTTTCAATCATCCCATTGTATGCTAGAGTTTATAGGCTCTTATCTTTTTTGAGCTTATCACTTCCATCTTTGTTGAAAATGAGAAGTATGAGTCAGAAGATGGAAAATAAAATATGGCAGTGACAAACGCGCTCGGAAGACAATCTTCTGAAAGTTGTAAAACAATCTAAAAAAGGGAAATAAAGCTACTTCTGTTAAGAAATCTGAGCGTTGATGATGACAACCAGTAAAGGCATGGTAAAAGGAAAAGAGGGAATAAAGAGAGAAAGAAATGGCCGATATTTAAACCGGTTAAAAGAAGGAAGATAAGAAAAGCAATTGTAATACGCTCCACGGGTACCGCGCATCTTAGCATCCAACGTGGACATTGATAGTATTTCGATTATCCATTTCCATTCATTCAGTTTAATGCTTTCCACTTTGTACAGCATCGAACTGAACAATTTAGAAACTCCTCTGACAAATGTGCTGAGATGGCAGATGGAGAAAAAGAGGGAGAGAGGAAGGACGTTCCGGTTTTAGAAAGAGACAAAGAGAGAGGGAAAAGAAGACTTTATGATTTTACGAGATAGGTAGGAAAGATTTGTGAAACTGTTGTGAACAGGCGGCTGTCGTCGGTGATACATATAGCGTCCTCAGTACTGGCAAGAGGATATGTAAGTGTGATTAATCTGCGGTACATCCGGATGATAGAGTTCTCGATGATATATGAAGGCTTCTTGAAGAATTAAGACTTCGATATCTTTTGTTGCAGTTTTAAAAGCCGTCGAGATAAGCCTTGACTTCAGAACTCTCCCTTATTATAATTGAAGAAGTAGTTATCTGATTTATAAAATTTATGGAGAATGCAACTTTTAACATGTTCATCCTTCAGAAGCTTAGTGTTGATCAAAATTCTAAATGATAAAAACTTCCTCCTCTGAACGACTCAAACGACAAAATATCGCATCAAAGTTATTGATAATCAAAAGATAAGAAGCATAAGGTCACTGTTTGAATTACTCCAGATAATTCATTTTCCACGAAAATTCTCCATTCTGGCAGTTTTTTTTTTTTTTATCATGTTTGTCTCTTCTTTGAGAGAACCAGCTCGCAGTACAATTTGATACTATGAAATTGCGTTATGTAAAAAATTTCTTGGAAATTTCAGGTTCTCTCGTTTATATGTTTTACTGACTGAAACTTTGATCAGTTCTGATTAGCGATTACTTTGAATTTGTTTTTGATCAGTGCCACCCTTAACAACTCAAAATAAATTAACATCGTCTCTGTGTAGTAATAAGTTACCATTCCTATTCTTCTGGCAAAACTATGCCCATTTCAACGAACTTCCCCTCAATGTTATGTAAAATATCAACATAGAAATGCTACAAATGCATTATCATTATCATTATAGTTTGCATTACCATTATAACATTACTATAATTATCATTATTATTAGAGGAAGTTAAGCGGCCCACCAAATGCAGTGAGGCAAGGTTTAGCAATCTCGCTGCTCGGTACTTGAGAGCAGAGAAGTATTCTTAAGTAATTAGTATTCCTTAGTCTGTACCCCGTTCCTCACCCTGAGGATCGATAGCATAACGGTTTCACGTTAAATGATTCCAGTTTGGAATCTCTCCGTTGGCAATAATTTCATTACCATATTGACGAGGAAGTGTTGTCATTGTTTGATTATTATTATTGTTTTGATTATTATTATTATTATTATTATTATTATTATTATTATTACTATTATTATTATTGTTATTATTATTATTATTAATCATTAATTATTATTATCACTCATACAGGCCCTTTATATTAATTAAATTAGCAAAGTTTTTTTCCTCCCTTTTCTTTAATTCATTCAATTAATTTCATTCAATTTTAAATAATTAAATTAAGCTATCTTTTTTTTCCTTTCAATTTACTTAAATCTTTTTCTTTTTTTAGTTTCAAACAATTTAATTAAGTGCAATTTTTTTTAAATTTCTATTAATATATTTCTCATATATTTGATAGTTACAATAAACTGTTTTAGAATGTTATCTTTTATTTATACATCCATTAAGCATTAGCATATATATATGTTT